CAGCTGAAAATGCCATCACGACATGTCATCATGACAGCTGAGTCACAAGGCACGTAAGCACAGATACTGACTGCAGCACATCAAACTCTTATTGTTTTGCAGAAATCAGTGTCGTGGTCCAAGAACCTAGAAGGACCTCATGTTTGTAAGAGAAAGAAATTATCTATATGGTTTTCCATTCCCACTCGTGTATATGTTTGAAAGGGCAACAGGCCTCTAAGATAAATGATTAAAGTACAATCACTTAAAAATACATTAGATACATCTGCTCAAAGGTTAATAACCACTAAGACAGCCTTCCCTTTGACAAGGGAAAGAATCTCATGCTTACAAATGCATCAGGGACCTTTGGATCCCACCTGCTGGAGATGCTTAGCGGATTGGTGGCAGACCATTGCTTTGTTGGTCTGGCATTCTTCTGGGCTATCTGCTGAGGTCTGTTCTCTGCATAAAGCAGGGAGGAACCACAGTGCCTAAAGAGAGTGCTGTGGTCAGTGGGAATTTCTGATTCTTTTGAGAAAGGAAGAGACTTGAATGGTTTCCAAAACCCACTCATTGACTCTGCAAGTTTATCTTCCTTGCCCTACCGCCAGCAGAGTACTGACCACAAAAGCACCACAGTCCCCATGCTAGCTGCTCCTCCCGCCTTCACAAAGATCAGCAGCCGCTGCCTCAAGATCTGCTTCCCCTTCAGTTGCCTTTCACCGCAGTTGCCCTTTCTCCATAACCTACATGCAGCTCCACTGCCATCCTCAGTGCCACTAAACAAGTTCCTGGATCAGATGCACAGCCACCTTGTAGCATGGCCCATCGGTATCTATACAGCAGGCCGTGTTTCTCATTACGCAACCCCTTAGTATGCCTCATGTGTGCTCCAGATAGCACTTTGGGTAGGAAACACTGCCTGCCCAGAGCAAAGGGACTACAAATTGAAAGTGATTTTGGTGAATACTCAAAATAAAGAAGCCAAAGGCTGAAATATGCCATGCTGGCTACTTGTGAGACTAGCAGCTTTCCTCTGTTCATCAAGTCCAGAACCCTTCTGAAAAAAAGAAAAAAGAAAAGAAAAAAAAAGAAAGGAAAAAAAAAAAGAAAAAGGCATTAAATGTTACTGTAGCTCCATCTGCTTTGCCACAAAGCAGCAGGGAATTCCACTTGCTGAGCTGCAGGGGCAGCTGAGCCTCTTGTTCATTATGCAGAGCCCCAGAGTCCTCAATACGTACATTTGTAGGAAAGTTTTCAAATCTTTCACCTATTTTACTGACAGATTGCCTCTAAACTTATTTATTAGATAAAGGGCAGATTTCAAGTGGGGCAGAATTTAAACAAAAGAAGTGGTTCAATCTCTTAATGAACAAACTGCTGCCAGATCCCCAGCTGGGGACTTGGATGCTGCAGGCAATGGGCCAAGCAGGGGGTGTCTCTCAACTGTATTCTCTGCAAGCATGTGTGTTTCACAACCCTTTTTTTTTTTTTTTCTTTCCCAGCAAGATCTCCAAGCAAAAAGATCTCCTTCACCATGTCCTCAGCCCTACTTTGCTGCTTCTCTGAGCACTGCTGGCTCCTGGTAGGGTTCTGCCTCCCCTGGGTCTGCCCCAGCTCAGGAATCCCCTTCCCCTGGTCACCAATATCCCTGATCGACTGCAAAACGCACCTCCTCCAATTTGCATTTAACCATAGGTTAAACTGATGCACTGTGACACTGTCACTGAGGGGACATTATCCCCTCCTAATCACCTGTCATTCTTAATTATATGTCTAAGAGTTAAAACTGTAATATGTTGTGACAAAATTGTGCAATTGGAGAATTGCAGAGTAAGCAGTTTGCCAACTTGGAAAAATACTGGATGTGATGCTGGGGTTCAGTAAGCCACACTGGACTTTCACCACGAGGAGAGAGTTCTTGAGTAGTTAAAAAGTAGTGAAGCAGCATTATTAAACATCCTTCAGATGGAAGGGGGGCTGAAGCAGGCCACTGGTTCATCAGGGAGTCAATATGACTTTTATAAACTGCAATTGTTTGCAACTTTTTACATCACTGCTAAACATTTCCATTTATTATTTTATATGTGGCAGAAGATTTGAATGGAAGTATTTAAAAAACATTTCACTTAGCTATGTTATAAGTCTTAAGTATTTTGTCTTTTGTTTAACCGTTAAATGAATTGTTCTTTCCTGGAAAACCTGGAAATCTACTAATGTTTGGTAGGAAAAAAAAAAACAAACTACAATTACATTTAATCAATCATCTCTTCCAACACCATGACAATAGAAACTGACATAATTACAGTCCCAGACTATTACAATAAATTAATCTTGAAGAAATCCCATTTTCCATAGATGAATTACATCCACGTCAGCATGAGAAAGCACGGTGTTATAGAAAGATGCCATTAACTCTCTATGTTTAGAGGGAGGAAAGAAAATTCACATTTGTAATGTCTCATTCAAAATATTTGTGAATGTTTAACTGCAAAAATTATGATAAACACAAGACAGACACCATGCCATGGGCTAAAAAATGTCAAAAGATTTGGTTCTCCCCAGACTACAATTAAAATGAGGAATGCAACACCATAAAACATCTTTGAGGCCAAATATTTAGCAATGCTCAATGAGGAAGCAAACATTTAGAGCAAAAAGGAAACTCCAGAGCATCGTGACCCAGAGCACACTCCCACCACTAGCAGCTGAGCTGGTTGTATGAGGCCAGCTGGCTGACAGGAGGTATGAAGAAAGCCCAAAGAAACCTCAGCAGAGGCTTGTCCTCAAACACTGCTTCTGAGAGGCCCCAGTGAGGGCCACCCTCCTTCCCTTGGGGGCTGCTCTTTAGCTGAGGCTCTCACCCTGAGCCTTGCCAGAAGCTTTGCCACAGCCATGCACCCCACTGATCTTTATTCTGGCCAAGAGACCAACTCCCCAGCTTGCCCACAGGCCTGCCCTGTCACTACAGACCTGCCTGGCAATCACAGAACAACCTGACCCTGGTCACTGCATCCAGATCTGACACTGGCATACTGCAGAGTAAAAGCGAAGGAGTTAAACCTCAGCATCACCACTTCCAACAGGCTGCACTGCTTCACTGATTTCAACCTGCAGGTACATCACACCTACAGCCACACACACAGCTCACATGCTGCAGCACCAAGTGACAAAGCACCCTGCCACCTCAAAACTCTGCACCCAGGCCATCTTTGGGAAAAGCAGTGCGTTCTGTCCCTCGCTTACTGTAGTCCTTGCCCTATATTTCCATTAATGCACGAGTGTTTAGTAGGGTATAACTGAATTAGGTTTACCTGACAAAGTTAAACAACAAAAGTTAACAACCAGTAAAAGGCCTGTTTTGTGACTTGGATTGCACAGAGGAATCTATATGTTCTGCCAGTCCTCACACATTTGTTTGGCACAAAAGAATCCTACTGCTTTTAAAATTTAAAAGCTCTACTCTGTTTCATCTCAGATGAGAAAAAACATGACTAGATAGAAGAGTTAGCTAAACCCAGACCTGTACAAGAAGGGAATTCAGACACTGCATATCACTTCCGTCTGCAAGCAGGATTTTTTTTTTTTAAAGAAAATAATAAAATTAAAAAAAAAAACAACATTTTTTATTGACCATACTGTAGATAGCTGTACAGAGTGTAAACTTTAATATTTCACCAGATATGTGAATAATTCTGGAGAAAGAATTATGAAGCACCTTCATTTCAACACACTTTTGATATTTACAGAAAGAAATACCTGATTAAGTGTACGAGTAAAATGAATTAATTGTTATAAAATGTTACACCAAAATATCTTTAAAACGTTTACATTGTTATTTTATGATAAATATACAATTAAAGAGGAAGATGTAACACATTAAGACTCAGAACTGGCTCTTTATGAAGCTTAACTGTAGCATCTGGAAAGGAAGTGAGGAAATAGGGATATTAATAGCTTACTGCTCTTATCACAGCATTGTGAAGTGTACACTGACAGAAGTGGGCTTGCACGTGAGCTTTTTCACAACACACTGTGCAGAAGCTAAACTTTACTCTTGGTTTAGTATGACATTAAGAGTATACATTTTTGATTTTGCCTCCCAACTCCAGCTCATTGGTAATACTGAAAATGTGCTTCAAGTTTGCTTTGATTTTCAGCATACTTTTTTGCTGTTACTCGGCGATGGCACACAAAGGGGACGTAATGCTTTTTACCTTTAAGCACCAAAACACAGCCAACCCTTTGGAAATCAGATTTTTAACTGCTATGTTTCTTATGGTTTACCAAAAAAAAAGCACAATGTAGTTTTCTGAAGAAGAAAGATGGCTACAATAAAATTCAAAGATCATTTTCAGGCTTAAAGAATCAAATATAGAAATATTATTTTAAAAGCTCTCAGGAAACAAATATGACTCTCTCTTTCAAAAACAAACACCTCCAAATGAACCAATATCTATTCTTTGATGAACTATCAGCATCTGAGATCTAAATCTAAAAGTTTGTTTAGGGGATTTTAGGAAAATACTAAGGAATCTACATCAGATGGAAGAAAAATAAATCTCTTAAACTCCAGCAGAAACTTCAAACACAGCCATTACGCAGTCCTGACTATAAAGAATCACATGCTGTGGGTATGAATCACATGAGGGTAGTAAATAATACCCTGACAGCATGTGGATAAAGTATTTTCATACCAACAAGTCAAAAGTTGAGATTCAAGTTTTGAAAATTCAAAGACTGCTAGTGGGGATGAATGCAGTTAGGCATTAAATCAGGTGTTCTCACCTACATCTATCCATCCTTAGGACCCTCTGGCTGCTTCTCAGTTAAAAATACACCCTTCACATAAGCAAAGGGCCAAACATGCCATTATACAGATAACTGCTGTGTGCTTTGAGGTACAACCTAGTCTCAAGATCACACCATCCTTTATTCTGTATTCAGCTAAGACACACTTCCTCCTAGCCTGACTCAGGTACAACTAAGGCCTCCACGTTTTTCTTTCAAAGCTGTATTACAAGGATTAAGATGCAATTGGACCTAACCTGGATGGCTCTGTCTTGCCTAACTGCTACAAAACAGTCATTGCCTGTGTGTCTGCATATGCACATTATCGCTTGCAGTCAACAGCATGCAGCACTTATCTCTAGGGCCTGATTGTGTTGATAGATCTGAATTGTTTATGGCACATTCCCAGAAGGTGCCTGCTGCTTGAAAGCTTGTTTTAATACTCAGTTTCTTTCTATACAATCCACTCCAACTGTGTTGTCAGGGCAGCGGCAAGAGCGGCCTTCTGGGGTAGCCAAGCAGAGGTGAGTACAACCACCATTATTCACTGTACAGTAGTTATGTCCTGAAAAAGAAGAGATGAAAAATGTTGAAGGAAAGCAAAAGCAAACCCACAATAAAATCCAAACACATGTGCAAAATATGCAGATTCATGACTACACCAGGGAAACAAACTGAGATTGAAAAAACTAAGGGCTGGGGAGATCAAAGTCATCAGATCCCTGCTTCCGATATTCACCTCAAGGAAAGTGCAGATATCAGGACAGAGCAGGATAGGCAACATCAAAAAATATGCTCACAAAAGTACTTCATAAATTAGCTGAGTGGTCACAGACATTAGAATGATGATAGGGTAAGGAAATGCGAAATGCAACAAATGAGGACCAAATTCAAAATGGTACAGAACATCATTCCCACCTTTCCACTAGAAAGACACTGAGGAATGACTAGCAAAAACACAAAAATAGGGGGTTTAGGGAGGAATGCATTAACATTGAGGGGTAAAATGAAAGATGAGGGAGTATCCAAAGAAATGGATTTGAGGGGAAAGACATCAGTCAGAGACAAACATCTGAAGTAAATAAGAAAAAAAATAATGTTGAGGTTTCTAAAATTACAAATATAGTCTTTTAGTCACAGCACAGACTGCCGTTTTGTTATACAGTGCCTATCACAATGGAAATATTAATTATTAACTAGTAGTTAACGTTATCAAGTTAACTAGTTAACCAACTAATTAACTACTAGGAATAAAATGTCTGATTTCTTAGTTATGAAATTCATACGCATATTTTAATGCTCTTTTAATTTTAATGCAGTTAAGTTTTTACTGTACATATTGAATAACTAAAGCAAATACTCTAATATTTAGGATTTTTTTAGGCCTGAAGTTAAAAAAACACAGTTATAAATCTAGCCACATAGTAATAATAAAAAAGAGAACTCTTCTAATAAGTGATTTGAAAAGAATACTGGAAGAACTGGACACTGGTATTGCCTCCCAGACAGTAAACTTATTTCAAGGCTATCAACTTTCTCTCTTCTAAGTTTCACAGGGGGCTTTTCAGTAACATTTCTGAAAAGCTTAACATCCAACAGAGCAGAAAGATCAGTCCACCCACTATGCCACCTGCTGTTTTTTGAACATTCCCATTTTAAAAACACTGATCTCATTAAGGAAATCTGGAAGACCATTTTTTCTATAGTTTGAAATTAAAAACGAGTAAATAAGGCCCTAGCCATAAGTATAGGATTCACTTTAGATACTGACAAGACAGCAGCTTTAGCCATGTCTAGTGATAGAACAAGACTCCTCTGCCTATTAAGATTGGATATGGCAACTATTAAAAAAGTTGTAATTTTTAATTTCTCTGAAAACTGAAATCTAAGCAAACACTCACTAACCACCTACATCAGGTGGCCATAACAGCTCTCACTGAAGGGCTAAGTTCATTCATGTGCTAAGATGCTGCACAGCTAGAAAAATTTGAGTATTGTATTACCTCCTGGGCACTGAGCAAAAGCTGTAGTGATTCCATAGAGACGGGAGCGCTTGTGAGGTTGGAAGTTATCATTTTCTACTGAAACCATGCGATCCACAGCTACAACAGCATCCCTGACAAATACAAGACAGAACGTACAGAAGTGAGATTAATACAGGAATACAAGACAAAACAAACAAACCAACAAAAAACAAAAGAAGGAAGAAATCTAGAATTGCTTCTTTTTTCAGAAGAAGTGATGTCTTGAAGAAAAATCCCCCAAGACCTCAGCATGTATGGACAACTCAGATACACATATCACAGCCCTCATCCTAGGCAGCAACGAGATTCAGTAGCAGGGAGCCAACTTCATAATTTTGGAGGTACTTCCAAACACACATCCCTCTACAGGAACACATCTGTTAGTGGTTTTGATGCATTACATATTCTGCAGTCCCATATTTTCTGTGACATAGGCAACACAGCTATTACACATAACGATTACAATGTATTCCAGGTGGAGCATCATATTTGGAAGGAACACTGTCAAAAGGATTTTTTCTTTCCTAGAAACCAGAGGGCTGCAACTGACACAACTTCAACAGATTCCCATTTATCCAGAATAGTATTTCCCAGCTGTTAGGTTCTAGCCTGGGAATCTTTAAACACACTAATAGCTCTTCCTGCTGCAACAAAATCGTTTGTATACGAGTTTGTAGATAGAGCCCACATAACTATTTACGTCCAGGAAAGACAGTTAAAAATACATGAACTGGATATTTTTTCTGTAAATACATAGTAAACTCCAAAGTCTCAATTGCATTTCAATGTTTTAGTTTACTTGCAACAAAGGAAGTGTCATCAAGACAGTAAAAACGTCCTCTTATTTCTGGTTAAGTATTCAGATAACACCCAGCATAAAAAGTCTTGAGTGACTAACTTCTGCCCTCTACAATGCAGCAACTAAAGCCTTAAGGGAACCATGTTAACTCCCACTCATTTCCCAAAAATGCTTAGTGTTGTAAGTATTTTCTTAGAGGACAAACCACTATGCTAAGAAGAAAACTCTAAGTGGCAACATCAATAGGTCTGCTCTACAGAATTGTTCTGTCCTGCAACAGCTATTGCCAGAAATAGAAAAAAAAAAGAAAAAGAAAAAAAAAAAGAAGAGGAATGTGTGATATGTCAGACATGAGAAATGCAGTATAAGCTTCACTTCCTACCAGGCAGAAGAACAGAATAAAGCATTCCTTAATTTCTTTAGCAGATAACATACCTTCTCCAGTCTGTGTAGTACAAATTCTTCCCATAGCTTGTAACACCAAAAGGATACTGAATTCCTTCAACAATCTTTCGTCGACCAAGCTGATTAGGGTTCATGCATTCCAATCTCTTGGTACCTGGGTGAAGTGAAACAATTCCGTTTCTTCAAAACAAAGACCAAGAACTCTCATGAGGAAGAAAGGATAAGCATAAACATGCACACACAAACAGACTAAAATTTTCTGGATGTCCTTCAGTCTGCTACTCAGCCAAAGGCCCTCCTATGCCAAATCTCCAAATGTGTCAAAGACTGGAAGGCAAAACACTTTAGTGCTAATGTAATCAGCACAGCACCTAACTTACAGAAGCACAATGTCCAAAATGTCCATTGTTCACAAGCTGAAACTCCAGGTACAGAAGCCAGCATCTTCAGGCTGAAGTAGAAGCTGACAGAAAGTCTGCTCCATTCTGGAGGGATGCTTCAACCACTATCCATTTCTACCTTCTCTGGAAGACACTTTTTAAATTGAGCTAGGTAAGCACGTTTGCAAAATAATTGCTGGCTTGGGCAACCAAGGCAAGACTGCAGGAAGAACACCTAACTTATAGATGCAAATAAGGTGTAAAAAGGCCTAGTTTTAAGTCTGCTACACACCTCAGGAACACTGCTAGCAAATGGAAACACCTGCAGAATTTTGTTAACTAGTGGGTTTCAAAATTAGGAGAAAAAAAGGAGAAGAGACAAATTTGAGAATAAAAGATGGGAAAAAAAAAAGTTAGCAGAGGAAGAAATGATTAAAGGCTAGAGAAAGTTTCTTACAGTTAAAAACATAGGATGATCTTTTTAGTTTATCATTAACTTGAAAGGTGTCTTGAAGTATAAGTATACCTCCACAGGAAGAGATCTCTGGCAGTCTACAGTGAGAAAGACAGCAAGATGGAAAAAGAAAGTTTATATGAGAATTAAAAGCATACTTTTTGTCTTTAAGCATAATCAACAAGTCAATAGCAGAATTCATCTCTTGATCATAATATCATAAAATGGTTTGGGTTTGAAGGGACCTTTAAGATCATCTAATTCCAACCTCCCTGCTAGAAGGACACCTCCCAAGAGACCAGGTTGCTCAAAGCTCCATCCAGTCTGGCCTTGAATGCTTCCAGGGAGGGGATGCCTGCTGTATCTTTAGACAGCTTTTTGATCAGAACTAAAATCTTTCAGCTTATACAGAATCCAACAAAGGTAGTACAAACAAATGAACTGAGATTATTAAAGCCAAAAATCAAGGCATGAAATCCAAGTTCTAGCCCAAAGAGCTATAAATATTAATTAGCTGTGCATCTTCTCAGTATTGGATGTGCTTAGTATGCTGGTATTATGAAGATAGACTTCAACACCTATTTACCTGCATCTACCCAACATAACATCGAGGAATAAGGATCAAATGTCAGCCCATTTGGCAATCCCAGATCATCCTTCACAAGAATTCTTCTGTTTGTGCCATCCATGTATGAAGTTTCAATTTTAGGAGCTTCTCTGTTCCAGTCAGTCCAGTACAGGTTTCTTAAGAGGGAGAAAAAGGTAAAAATAAAGACTGACTGATCTCAAATGACTGTTGTAATCAAGGAAAAAAAAAAGTAGTAAGGATAAAAATAACATTACATTGCCAAAGTAGCAGTTACATTAGTAAGCAGCACCAAATTGCTCTTGAATATTGAAGTGACAAAACATCATGAAGATATACTGAATGTCATACTTCTATTAATAACAAGAAAACAATCAAACACAAGAAGAAATGCTTTCCATGCTTTGTTAAGGTTATGTGCTAGATGCCAGGTAAAAACACTTCTATTTCAACGTTTTGTGGACTGTTTAAAATGTACATCCACACCACTCCTTCCACCAGCCGTCATGTCTACCCAGGCTAAGCAGCAGAAACAGCAACATTTGGCACGCATCTGTGGGATTCATTCAAAATCACGTTTTTCTTTTCAGCACATCAAGCAGTATACAATGGAATTGATCAGAGTAGTTTATGGTCAGGGGAGAACTTCAGAGAGGGCCATTAATTCACTGACACTTTATTCTTAACAGCCATTTGTTAGTAGTGGATTTTTTGGCCTTGAATGCTATTTCTGAGAGTAAGAATTTACTTAACCCCTCTCCGAAGCCAAGCTCTGCATGTGTATTTTCAAAAGGTATCCATACCCTCTCACAGGGTCCACAACAATTGCACGGGGGTTCACCAGGCCAGTGTCAAAAAGGATGCGACGCTGACGCCCATCCAGTCTAGCCACTTCTATTCTATCAAGTTGAGAGTCAGTCCAGAAGATGTTGCGACCTAGATGATCTAGAGCTATCCCTTCAGGGCTTCCCAGGTCTGCAAGAGAATAGAGAAAAGTGTTCATAGACATCACATTTCTTAGCAACACGTGCCTCATAAGCATTCACAGCTCTTAACAGAGATTTTTTCAGTTTTCTGGTTGCAGACAACAAAAGCCACATCAGTTGGAAAAGCTTAATAGCTTTTTCCCCAGGCCTCCCTCAGCACATTTCCCTCCTTGGGAACACATCCTTTATATAAGCCTTGGATTTCACCTATATTGCAGATGGAGCTACAGCACAGATAGCTCGGAAAGTTAAGATACTCACTTATGCTTCATACCATGCATTATACTGCGCTGCTTTCTGAATGACAAATATAAAAACCAAACCAGCACGCAACCCATGTCTGCAAGTAAACTTGTCTTGAGGAGGAAAGGAAAGAAAAGTTGAAAGCAGGGAAATAAATAGAGACTACGAGAATCCTATTCTACCCTCCTTAGCAAGTCAGGATCTGGAATGATTTTATAGCATTTAACATTCCCCCTTCTTTAGTAGGTGGCATACATGGCACTCATTTGAAAACTGGATTTTTAATAAGCCTAGCCAAGTATGCTCCAAAGCATTAGAGATAATGCTATTAGTTAACTGATGGAATTTAGATCCTGTTCTTTGTTTTTGCACAGCAATCCTTTTTGGAACGTATTTTAGTACTGTATGTGCACTATTTGTCTTGGATAGTTGTTCCAAAAGCAACAGGAAATAACAGATAACATCCTTTCTGCTTTAGCATTAGTAATTTCTAACTCACATGAAAGAGACAAAATAAATATATAGCTCTTCAAGGTTTAATTCAGCCACTGTGGAAAAGCTGCTTCTACACTTTTGAACATCTGTACACTCATTGAAAGGGAGTGTGAAGGCTGTGTGGGATGCTGCGAGGCCAAAGGCATTACAAATCACTTCTAGTCTGATTTCAGTTCCAAAAGAAGTAAAATTGCATGTGGTCACTTCCAAAACAGGCAGTGACCCTTCATACCAGCCAGCTGTCAAGAAATTTTTCTGATGTGATCTACACATCACTTAAATTTCCTGCAACAAAAAAATGTGGCAATTAAGTGTTCTACTAATTTTCAAATGTATTTACTGACAACCATTAAACAGTGTGCAACACAAACGGTCCCTGTGAAGAAAAGGCATTAGTGACATAGACATGCCTCTGCTGCACTGCCATCAAGGCTGGCACAGTCACAGGCTCTGCTCCTTGGAAACAGACAGGCTTGTATAGATATACAACTAATATAATTTAAGCAGTTACAACAAAGATAGAAGCTCTCCTTCCTGACCTGCCCCCACAGCTGCAGAGCTCAGAAAGCCTCCACAGGCAATACAGCTGCAGGAATAGATGGGAACTGGATGGGGCTCCACAATAAAACATGTTTCTGCAGAGCAATTCAACTTGGATTGCAAGAGCTTTAACAACAACAACCAAAAAAAGTGCATTCCACAAAAATACGTGTGAACTGAAGAAAGCAGCTGCAGCCCTCCAGAGGAAAAAGGCAAAGATCAAAACAAAATAATAAATTCTCATGAGCTTTCTAAGAGCGAGGCTTTTTCCTATTTACTGAAATTTTAAAGGTTCAGTTTTGAGTACCACAGACATATTCGAATACTGAATATCCAACCATAAATTGTTCTGACTCTTTATCAGACATGCAGTTAACATTTCCATGCAGCAAGTAAAGAGAAACATTGCTCAAGATCTCTTCAGGAATACCAAACACATCCTATGTGAACAACAAGACAATAGAAATTATGAGATACTTTTACATATAAAGTGTTTTTTGTTGCAGATAAAAACACAAGGCTCCCATGCAGCAGTGGTATGTTTTAAATACTTTGAATTACCTAAAATAATCCAATTTAATTGAAAGACTTCACAAATATTCCAAAATATTTTATATACTGCAAGGCTTTCAAGGCACTCACACAGAATCTCATTAGATAGAACAATTCATACATATACAAAATCTTTAGCAATAGCAATTCCCTGCACTTTTTAAAGTGCACAATCTGACAAAATGCTTGAAGAGTAGATCCTCAAATGCTAGAGACTGGAAATCCTTTTCCCACTGACACTGTAGTTATACATGCATATGCTTACATTATCTCTTAAAGCCTCTCCTAAATTAAAAATGTTAGGATTAAAAGGAAGTTCTACAAATTCCTCAGCCAACAAGTTGCACAGAAATACAGCCAAGTTGTACAGAAATAGTTGCTGTTGTGGTTAGGGATGGCTTTAAGTTCTCCCTTAACCATTCCCAGGACAAATGCACAATCCAAGCTGCTCCCATCTCTCCATTGCCCCTGAAAGCCTGAGTACCAACAAACTGGCTATTCTGAAGCACATACTCCAGGTAGAGTTATACAACACATCCAAAGAAAACCAAAGCAAATTTATCGTAGAGTTTTAGAACTAGTTGATTATTTTGCTAAATTAATTTCCTACATTTCAGTGACAATACCTGGAAAGGATCAAAAGCAAAAACTCTAGTATCTTGACTTTACAAGTATTCTAGGATCCCAAGGACATGAATGAGTATGTAAAAAGTGCCTTCCTTTAGCTTCTTTTGCTGTTTGTTTGTTTGTTTTTCCCTCATGCTCCACATTCACTTGGTTTCCTAAACCTGTCCTTCTTCTTAACCTTTTAAGAAATTTTGAATGCTCTAGGCTTTTGATACCTCAATTCCATCATGAATACCCTTCATTTGCTGCTATCGTTGTTATTCATCATTTATATAGCAAAGTTCAGCAGAGAACCATTTTAAATCTATTCAGAGATTCTTTGCAAAGAACTTCACAAAAGTTTTTCAAAAATCCAGCCACGCAATTCTTACTGGGTCACCTTTATCTGCACATCCACTGACTGATGAAAAAGCTTCCATGCTTTCCATGACATTAAAGAATCATCAAAACTGTAACCCAAATTGTAACGTAGCGTAAGCATAGCATTGAAGTGCTACTACACAGGAAATAAATCCTTCCTCATTTTAAGTTACCAAAGCTCTTAGGGGTATCATTTATGCAAATAATAGTCACTTGCAGTGCTAAAGCTCAAGTAACACCTGTGAATTATTATTAAATTCATGTCTTTAATGCCATTAATAGGAAGAAGGAAGAGGAAGAACTTGGTGCTGTTACCTGTTCTGATGATGGTCGTTGGCTCCCCACCATGCAGGCTAGCTCTACTGATTGATGGACCGCTGATGTCTGTCCAGTAAACCATCTTGTCCATGCAGTCATAAGCAACTCCAATAATAACTTTGTCCTGTTGATCAGCAAGCAAATAAGATCAAGCAGAGAAAAGGACAGTGTGGACAGTCACTGTAGAGTAGCTTAGAATACTACTTCCAATTGTAAGTTCCTTTTAACAAACAGACAGTGTTCACAGAGCTTACTCCAAAAAAATACATTTGTTCATTTAAAGAAAGCTCTTACTAAAATCTTACTGTATTATTCCTCATCTGCATTTTTTCAGCAGTTACTTAAAATGTATCAATTGCCACAACAAAATTCTAGCAAAGTAAGTTCATTAAATAACAGTTTTGGAAATACTCCACAAATAAATCTTTCTGGTGGAATGAATATTCTCATTGGGAAGGAAGTGATTTTGGGGGCAAAAAAAGATAGGTCTGAAGATTTGAGTTTAGAGTGTAAGGTCCTTCCAAGCAAATGAAAGGGTAAAATGGGTAAAACGCTAATTTGTCATGGATTACTGAGTCTACATCCTTTGCTGCTTTTACTATTTAAGATTCTCATTCATTTGACAGAAAATGAAAGATGAGCAGCTTCTTAGAGAACTGGTCCAAAAACATGCACCAGAACAAAGATGACTTATTACTCAGCCTACAATAATGCTATAGAGTACTGAACAATCTAAATATCTTCATGCATGTTCCCAAATACACAACACTAACATAAAAAAAACAAAAACAAAAACAAACTGCTACTAGCAGAGACTGAGAGTTTAATTAAAGTATTAATGAAGAGTTGCATCTTATCTTTTGAAAGCTTTCTTGAAGACAGTCCTAAGCTAGACCAAGTAATAAGACTAGCTGACAGAGATTCAGGATTGTGTGCCTACATCATCATAATTCCAATTCTACTAATAAAAGTACTTTCTTTAAATCACTACTGCAGCAGAACTCTGGACAAGAGAAAAAAAGCTAAGTTTCACCCTTACATCACAATACAGTTTGCAGGACTATTTACTGAACTGAATCTGTATAGTTTAGTCTGTATTTCATCTACTAGGCCAACATGATATCTGCTGTTGCTAACTATTATAAACACTCTCATTCTGGAATGAAAATAGAAATCCCACGTTTCAGGCAAAATGAACGTGAAAAAAATGGAAGTGGGGAGAGTTTGTGTGTTTCACAGGTAATGGAGAAGAGGTTCTCAACATCAGGGATGCATTTTCAAGGAAAAAGGATTCTCAAGACAGTAGTAAGAAGTGTGGGAAAAATATCTACCACCCGCTGGGCCTGCACATGTAAAAGGAAACAAGAAAAAGATTTTCTGTGTATCTGTAGCCAAGAAATGCTGAGAAATTACTGAAGAGCAGGAATAGATTAAGATGTATGACAAAAATTTGAGAGGAATAAAAAAGGGCCTCTTTAGATACTGGTCTTGCAGGTCTTCTAGATTTTTACACCAATGGAAACGTGAGGTTAGGAGTATTTATACAGTCAACTGTTGGAGGCATAGAAGATTACAAATATTGACTTTTTTGTCCTATGATCTATTCTTTAAAAGCAAATAACTTTTTCCTAGTTATCTAGTTAGCTCAGTTATCTTTTTTTTTTTTTTTTTAATAGTCAGGTCAAAAATTCAGTGACAAAGTGCTGAGATATCAAAATCTTAACAAAAAAATAAAAATTGAGTTTGAAACTTAAATTATCAAACGACAAAGATGACAAACAATCACTTTCGCCCGCATTGCAGCCCCTCCAAGACACGGTGGCTTTTACAGTAGGTTACTTACTGGAATATGCAAGAGCGCTTTTGCACCATTTTTCTTCATGTTGTTTCCCTCCAATGGAACGTGTTCAATTTTCCCACTTTGGGCAAAAAGCAAATGTGTTCCTGGAGGCAGTGGTATTGTGTCTGGTCGAACAGAGGGCCCAATACCAACAGGAGGAGCAGCTGTGCTCAGACCTTGTCCATAGAAAAAGAAACAGATGGCAACAAAATTAGCTTGTGCAGTGTAACAAGGCTCCTTGTTTCATACAGAGAAAATTACAGACTGGCTTCTGGGGGGAATGGCCTGATAAGTAGACACTAACAACTCTAATCAGATGCAGAAAGCTTCGGATTTTTTTTCCCCTTCTGCTGACAGAGAAGAAGCAATTGACATAATAGATCTTTTCATGTTCAGCTCTGTAATTGCTCCTTCCTTTAAATGTTCAAAAAAGCCTATCTTATTTTGCAGTTGAAGTGATGAAAAGGTTGGAAGGAATATCCTTCATTTCCTGAGGCAGCAGCCATTTTCCATACATTCAGAGGTTCCCAGAGGGCAGAAATTTATAGGGGCCCCTCACAGTTTCAAAGAAGGAAAGAAATCAAAAAACCATCTCATCACAGTTGTCCAGAGGCCCTGGCTGAAGCAAAAGCATAAATGGAGTTGCCAAAGAGCTGCAGCATGAGGCAAACTGTCATTGATTCAAGAGAAGCCCGCATTGCTTTAATTCAGTGCTACATCTCAGGGGCCCCATGTTTGGGAGACACTGCACATCGGAGAAGAGACACCCAACAGAAACAAGTGCTACAGCCACTTACATGGTGGTCGAACTCCCGGGCCACTTCTGGTGCCATCAATCTCATTTCCATCTCTATCCACACACCAACAATATCCAGTGCTGCCATGGCACTGAGTGGGTACGTAATTCCCATGTTCATCACACTGGGGAATGAACTGACCAACTCTTATTTCTCTTTGGAAGAAAGTGCCTCCACTTCCAAGAGCTACTTCTTTCTCGTGCTGACATTTGGTCTTTACCACTCCTATGAAGAAAATAGACCAGTGAATGTTTCTGCTTTAATTAATAACTATGCTCCATTAGCAGTTACCATGCACTGACTACTTATAAAACATGTATTCTTGCTACAGATATTCCCTGATACAAATTTAGAAGGTATACACCATCAGTGCACCTTCAGAAAAAGTCTGCCCTATGTAGATCTAACATATTTGCCATGACTTTATATAACTTTCAATATTTTTCATTGTTCAATTTAAAACAAAACAAGAAGCTCCCTTGCAGCTTCCTACATTGAAAGGTCATAAAAGAGAAGCTGGAAAACATTATTTCTCCTAGAAGTACATTAGCAAGAACATTCTGTCCAGCTTGTGACCCCCAATGTCTACTTGTTTGGCAAATACCCATGGACTTCAAGATGTGACTAATTAGCCAGGCTATACAGTGGACAACATTTTTTTGTGATGTTAAAAGTCAAGTTTCCCTTCAGAGGGACAAGAGAAGAAAATCATGACATAAAGCAGATGCTGAGTTCTCTATAGAGCCTAGGAAATGAGACAACTTACTGCTCTGATGTGTATTAGATTTTTAAAGTTCAGGCATCACATTTGAGAGCTCACTTGATGCTTTTGGACCCAAGAAAGGAACAGCAGGAACAGATTGCTCAGTTCCTGGTAAGGCACATGTCATGGTTTTGTGATTTTTGGTTTTCGGTATTCCACATCATAACATCATGTGGGGCAGTGGGAGTTTAACTGTTGGTGCTCAAGCTCTGGGTACCTGCCTGGAAGAGAAGAAGAACTACATTCCCCAGGGGACTTTGCGGTCACAGAGAGTCTTGAGATACAACTCCTGGCAAGGTCACCTGACGCGCTCTTCTTTTGCCTGCTCTTCCTTGGCTCTCCTCCCTTTTCTCCCTGCTGCTCAACTGGACTGCGCATCTCACCTCAGCCCTCCGTGTTGTGGTGAGGACTTTTGGACATTCTCTCTCTCATTATATTTGATTTATTAGCTTCAGATTTAATGATATCGTATTATAGTGTGTTATCTTGCATTCTGATAGTATATTTAGTAAATCAGTTTGTTTCTCCTCAGATCGTTGCCGCTGTTTTTAATTATTTTGGGGTCCCCTGTTCCCTTTTTCTGGAGGCACGGATCTGTGGATCCCCGCGCCCCGCTGGTCACGGAACTGGGCCGAACCAGCCCATAAACCATTGACAGCACATAAGCGAGGTTGTACTGAAACCAGGAATACTACTACACATACATAGAAACATGTAATATGCAATGGCTGTATATGTTAATACAGAGATTACAGAAGAAAAATGATTTTCCATATTATCAAGATATTCAGGGATCAGTTTCTTCTGGTTTCAATTTTACGAAGCAGTCTGGACTGAAGAATAAATCTTCCTTTGCTGTTACATGTCATGTAATAGGGAATGTCACCTAGACAAATATATCTTTCCAGATACCAAACAACTCAGTGAAATTAACAGAATACAATAAACTTTTTCCCTCTCCACACAAATAAATCTGTGCCATTTTGTCCTTACACTTGAGACCTGAGGGGCTCTGCACAATGGGAGAGAAAGATGTCTAATTATGGGGGAATATCCTCTTCCTCATTTCTTTAGACAGCTAGAAATACTTAACACAAACTGTCTGACAAGGAGATCAAGCGTTACACTTAGATTTATTCCTTCCTCGCTTTGACATTGTCTAGTGGGCAGTGTTAGCTACGTATGGCTCAGAATAGACCCAGTCCAGCAAAGTAAGAATCTAATCCCATGTGCCTACAGACTACTGTGGTGTAATAGTCACACAAGTACCAATAAAATAAAAAAGTTATGCAAGCTTTGGAAAAGTTCTGTGCACCTGGACACAATTAGAGAAATACAAATGTCTGGAGAACAGCTCAGTCCAAACAAATAAAATATTTGGCCTCAGCTTTAGTGTGGGTGGCGAGGAGTCTTGAGTCAAATTACAAAATCAAACCCTGAAGGAAAGTCTACATTATCTCAAATTTTGTTTATAGCACTCAACTCACTATGCAGGTAAATAAATAAATAAAATAAAATAAAAAAGATAAAAAAGATAAATATTTCAGTCAGTGGAAAAAAGTAATTAAGTAGTGGTATTTCTAGCAAGCTACCACATTACCCTAGTTTGGTTTTAAATTTCATTTCTTCATTAGGGCTCTGTAGGAAGATACATAGCCACAGATCATGTCACTTGGAAGAGAAAAGGACATAAAAGATGAGAAGACCTCATAACTGGGTAAATAGAGCTCATTAAAATCAACATGCTGATTCACACAGTCAAATGAACAGTTACATTTGGAATACAGCATGTACACCAGCCTCTAAAGACAGAGACTTATCTTGGAAAAGGACAACTGAGAAAAGTCATCCACAGGTAACTAACTCAGTGCAGGCACTACTCTAAATTGTGTGGGGATTGTGAGGGAGCAACACACAGGTATAGAGAAGCAATGTTATTGCTCTGGGTGGAATTAGTAAGATACATCAGGGAATACTGGGTCCAACTCTGGTACCCAGAGTTTAAAAGGATAGTGAAAAATTGAAGCAGCGTACAGAAGAGAGGAGCTCCTGCAGCACAGAACAGAAATGCAGACTGCCCAGGATGTGACGTTCAGCAGGCCACAGCACACACTAGTCTAGCTCCATCGAATGGTGCACCGTAGGCTCAAGCTAAGTGAATAATCTTCCTCAGAAAAATAAATTTGTATTTAACATTTTCAACATATATTTTTCGGTTGTTTTAGAAACCAGCACTAGCATTGCAGAATTTAAAACTCTAGAAAACAACACAAAACTTGAAAAAACAAACTGTAAATAGCCTGAATACTGAAAGTGGCCCAGACAAAAAAGACGCATTCAAATTCCCCACATAAGCAAATAAATAAACAGAATTGGGGTAAAAAGCAAACAAACAAACCCATATGCAAACAATCAAAGTCACTTTTGGTCATAAAGGCAAGCTCTTGTAGCAGTACTGTAGAAGATCATTTATGGACTTTTCAAAAAAAAAAAGAAAGAAAGAAAGTAGGCTGGGAAAGCAGGAGGAGGAACAGGAATTTATGGGACTTCTCTTCCACCTTGCAAGAGGGATTACATACTAATGCACTATATCAAATTTAATCAGTTTTTTAATCAGAATTTTGCAAAGATTTGATATAACTGCTCAAAGAGGTTTTAATTCGCAAGCTGAAGACAGAGAAAAGTGATAATAAAGCTCTGTCCAGTACAAGAGTACCCAAAAGAGTACTTTCTGAATTTCTGGTGTAGCTCACTTTATTCCCCAAATATCACAGTTATACTAGCACTTCTAACTGCCGTTCTCAGACATTGCCAAAAAAGGAAGAGAACAAAACAAAACAACACACTGCCCTTTGTCCATTCATTTTGCCTTGCAGTCCTTCACTTGCAGCATTGCCCCGTGCATCTTTCATGTGAAACAAACTGTGTACAGAGCACCAGCAAATGGCTCTAACGGTCAGACCCCAGTCCAAGAACCCAGATTTGTTTCTGTTTAGTAAACAGTATCTGGGGTCTGCAGGGGTAGAAACACTCAGACATCTGGTTTTTTGAAATGGAAAAATGAAGCGTGAGGAAATAATGAAGTACAGACATTCTTAATAGCTGTGAGCAGTGAGACATTCCAGCATCATTAACTCTTTCATTAACCTACGGGTTTACTCCTACAACATTCACTTACATACATCTCAAATCCATTTTACTCATTAGTCTCCTTGCTTTGAGAGCAGCCATTCAACAGTGATAAAGTTCAATAGTACATTCCACATATTAATAAAGGCACCAAACAAGCAAGCAATTGAACATATTGCTTGGAAAAGGACAGCAAAAAAAACCAGAATATTCAAATGAATGAAACTTTCCATGCTTTTAACAACCAGGAAAGACTTCAGTGAGTTGACTGAGGCTAAATAGATCAAAACCTTATCAGGTAAAAGGGGAAGAAAGGCTCTCTAATGACATCTGAATACAATGGATTCTCATCTGGAATCTCCACCCTGAAGTAAGTTGGTTTACAAATTGGGTGCTAAAGTAAACTAAGCTACTTTTTGCAGAGCTTCAGAAACTTGTTTGATTCCAGCTACTGGCAATGATTAACAGTTGGATATATCCATTTTAGAAGTACTCAAGCTTTAGCAATAAGATGACATTCCAAAAGCAGCTATTGTTCTATTAACTATCAAAGAAGGGAGGAGTAGCCATGCTTGTTGTAAACACTGCCATTGCCACAGACCAGCGGGGCAATGCAGATACTCCTACTTTAGTCAGGACTCAACCAATAGCAAGACTTTTCATCTATAAAACTTCTATTTCCCTGCTCCGAGAATTTCATGAGCACAAACAATGCGAGTGTTTCCAAAGCATGTCTTCTACTCCTGGTACAAAACAGAATTAAAAATAAAAACAAACAAAGAAAATGAGAGACACGTATGAAAATTATCAAAATCTGGCAGACCCCCAGCTACGAAAACATTTGACATAAGAAAATTATCCAAACCATTTTGTTGAATGCAAGGGGATTTGATGATTCAGTTATTCTGCCAGCTTACAAAGATACACCAAGCCTGTTACACAAAAAATTTACCCAGCCTCAGCCTGTAAACAGACAAGCATTCTGAGCTTCAAGCAGCCATAAGGGCCAAAGAGGAGCCAAATGCAGCAGCACTGCTGTAGAAGAGGCATTCCACTTGGTGCTGAGACCCAGCATTGAGGTGCCCAGTAGCCAAGCTGAAAAGGGAGCCATCTCCATTCAAGCTACATTTATGTTGAGTATGAAAACAAAATCAAGAAGCATCTAGGATAAGTAGAAAAATAATATAAAGCTTCAACAAAATAGTACGTTACACTTAGCAGTTGAGTAGATGCACTGACAACATGTGAAAAGGTGTTGTCCTCAACAACAGCAACAAATATGCTATCACATATACTCGGAAGAAATGAAATATGCCCTGTAATAGAGCTGATTGAATTGAATTGATTGAATTCAATTATCAATCTGCCAAACTATCTGCTTCAGCTAAAACGGGGAATGTGCCAGACATGAAAGCAGTATTTCTCATTCTGCAATCCTTCTTTAAGAACCAGAAGTCCTAAGGTTTGATTTTGCTTCAAGCTTCTCACATCAGGGTTCTCCTTTAGGAGTAATAATCCTGTTTTTATCAACAGGGTCATTATATAAATGTTTCAACCTTGGTCAGAAACACCAGGTAGTTGTCCATTCACCCGGCATTAAACTGAAAATATGCATGAACATTGGCACATGAAAAATAAGTTGAAAGCAGTGTTGAAAGACTGACATAAAAATGGAAAAAGCTAAAGCTTCAGAATTAAACACCACCAAACCTCCTACAATTTACCTACAAAGGAAGAGTCTACAAACACTCAATGATTTGACATAACATATGCTGTTGAGCACCTGATGAAGTCATGCAAATAGGATCTAAAACCAGAAATCAGCCTGTGATTTGTTTTGTTTTTCCTGTAAGTCATCCATCACCTCTTTGTTTTGAGGCATTAGTATCCTACTGTACAAGAATGTCAGAATTTCAGAATTAGGGAAGACAGCAGCAAAAGAGAAATAAAGAAGTTCGGCAACACATCAGATAGAGATTCAGGTCATTCAAATGAGCACTTTTAAGCCAGCAGATAATTTAATAGAAAGAAAAGTCTCAATTTTAAAACATCAAGTATTTTGGACATCATTAAAACAGTGCAGAAACTGATTTATAAAGACAACCTCCCTCCTCAGTCCTACTGCTTTCTGCATCTTTCCCCCTTGGTCCTGTGACCTTTTTATTCTTAGCTGCACATTTTGAGTTTCAGTCTGTGGAGAGGTGCAGTGTCTTTAGCCTAAGAGCAAGAATCTCAGAAGCTGAAATAGGTTCAAATGTACCAAGAAGGTAAGCTTTATTTGTTTCCTGGATTAAAGTATTCAACTGTCATCTAGCTTTTTCATGCTTCTGAACTGAAATAACTGTAACGATGCTACTCTGAGCTTTAGTGTTCCTCACTACTTCAAGGCGCAAACTAGACTGCAAGAGCGGAAGTGTAGAAAGAGCTTTATGCTAACTAGAGAATAAACTGAGTAAATACAGAAAAATCTAAGAGTTAATTAGAACCAGGAGTTAGTCTTCCTGGACTCTGGCTGACTACATTTGAAATGTAGGCATCTAGTTCTTGCTGAATACAACAGTACAGATCCTTTGGTTTCATCCTTCTCTTTTCTGGTGATCAAGGCCAGATTGGACGGGGCTCTGGGCAACCTGGTCTAGTCTTAAATGGGGAGGTTGGTGGCCCTGCCTGTGGCAGGGGGGCTGGAGATTAATGATCCTTGAGGTCCCTTCCAACCCAGGCCATTCCGTGTGATTTTCTCCTGCAATTGTTGCATTTTATTTATATCGCCAACAGTTCCATGTGTTTTAAGATATGTGGCTATTGTGTATGGAAAACAAAATTAGTCTGTGGTCAAATCCCTACAAAAGGCAAATTCAAAAGGTAGCATCAGCATGGAGCTGAGAACTGCCTGGGGGGAGACAAACAAAACATAAAACAATAACTGAGCAGGAAAAGCAATAACAGTCAATAGACAGACACTGGCACAAGCTTGGTGTTTAGACCTCAAGGGACATGAGAAAGAACAAAGCCCCCAGTGAGACAATATACATATTTTTTTTTCCAGAGAACCATATATTCTCCAATTCCCAAATTGCACTTCAGCTCTAATTTTCAAGAACTATAAAATTTTACCTCCTAACACACACTGGAAACCATCCCCACGATAACCTGCCTTACACTGGCAGCTGAAGGATCCAGGTGTGTTGTAGCAGAAAGCATCTGGATGACAGCGGCCCTGCTGACATTCATCTATATCTGTAAAATAAAAAATCAGTCTTCTATAAATATTCCTCATGATGGAGAATAGCTAACAAACCAGAGTGAGAATTCGACTGCAAACCTGGCTTATTACTATCAGGCTCCCATTTTAGGTCATATGACTAGAATTAAAGACTTTTGGAAGAATACAGAAATGAAAAGAAAAAGCATGCATATAATTTAGATTGGCTGTTGGCAAATCTTTCTACCCTTCTGTTCTCACAGGTACTGGCATGGATACTGTAAATTCACACAGTATTTTAGAAATACATGCCTATAAGAAAGAAGAAAGAGGAAAGAAAGAAGACATAAATGCAAGAAGAAAGGCTGAATTTGGCCAGCAAGATTTCTGATGTGTTTAGATAAATCTTGTCTCCCACTGCACTCCAACTGACACGAAACACAGCATAACATTTTTACAGATTCTGAATTCTGAGCACTGCGTGTCACCATCTTAGTCATATAAACCAGTACAGAGCAGACAGTTCCAGCAGGTGTGGATCTGATCCCCTAACTGCTACTTCCTACTGCTTCCTACCTTCCTGCTACTGCCTACTTCCAGTTATGCAGCTACCTCATCTTGGGCCTTCTGGAGAATAAATATTAAGGAATGAACTCAGAAGCAAGAGATTAAAGAACGAGAGCTTACGATGCTTGCCTGCGTGACATAAGGTACAAATCTTCCTATTTTAAATCAGACCTAACCATAGGAAATTGCAATGAGCAGTCAAGTTGCCCAATAAAGAGCACGAAAAAACACAGCAAATGGTACTACTCACCCTCACAGGCACGCCCATCTCCAGAGAAGCCAGGGAGGCATGTGCAGATGTAGGCAGACCCACCAGTGTACACGCACTGAGCACGCTGGGGGATGTCGCAGCCATGGGTGCCTGCCTGGCAGTGGTTTACGGCGTATTCAACAGCTGCAGGTTAGACACACAAGAAAAGAGTGAAAGTCTGAGTTTTCCTCCACAATGTTTGAAGAGTACAGCTGTGACGGCACAGAGAAGAAAAAAGAAACACAGAAACAGTTTTATTTGGGGGTTGCAGCTTTTGTTTTGTTGTTGTATTTTAAAGCTTTCCATCGCACAAGTGTTAAAACTCGTTGATGTTTTACAAGGTATTGACTATCTGCAGCATCTCATAACTGTTTGTTAGAATGAAGTAGGGCAAAAGGGCTACAGCACCCATAGATCCTAACATCTATGTGAGTTTTGTTTATAAAAAGGAGTCCTCAATGAAGAAATGTAAGGCATCTCCTAGAGGCACCTAACACATTGGCTCAGCAGCCAGTTCATTGCACTGGGAATTAAATATCCTGCTACACTAACCTAGCACTGACCCAGGGCTGTCATCACTTGGCAAGAGATGGGAGATGTGACTCACTTAATAGGAGGTAAACACATTTGTCAGCTCTTGGAGAAATTTTGACCAACTGCAGCAGCTGGGGCCAGGCCTGCAGCTTTTCATGATTTTCTCAGTGCCTTCAGCATATCAGCACTGTCACCAATGCTTTACACACAACAGTATTTTAGGTAGTTGCTGGAGCTTTGCCAGTGCTTACCTGTTATGTCAGAGAACAGGAAAGGAAACCATTACATTTTAAAGAGGCAAAATACCACAGAAATGTTAGGGCAAGAAAAATGTGGTTTTGCAGTGAGCATGTCTAGGAACAGATTTACAGCTGCTGTAAGAGTCCACTGAGGCTTTTTTTTATGCAATTCCTTCCTAGGAGTTGACAGGGGACTAGGACCAGAGTCCACAATGCTCCTTTCATCACAGTACACAGATGGAAACTACCACAGTATCAGCAGGGAAAAAAAAAAAAACACAAAAATCTGCCATCATAGTCAGATCTGGAAACAGACATTTTGTTCATTTCTCTGGAGGAGATGCCATTGTAAGAATCATTTTTATCTGTTCTGCTTCACAGAGCAAGATTTAGATTACAAAATAATCTATTCAGAACAGCGTTAGCCCTACAGCTGGAATTCCTAGGGAGCTCCCAAGTCCTCCTATCCCTCAGTCTACAAATAGAAGAACCAGATTCATTTACAATTCTCTTCTTAACACAGCGAGTCACACAGCTGGTATGAAAAAGCTGCAGTTCCACATCAAGCCACATAAGCACAAAGAAGGGTGCTGTTGCCCTGTCTCAGGTTCAAGTCGTTCAGGGGCTGTAAACCAACAGATAGAGAAATAAGACTGCTAAGTTTCTTCAGGATTGAAGAAAGAGATCACACCAAAGTCCTTCAAGCTGGGTAAGGAATATCTTGGCACTCTTCTTTCACAATTTGGTATTTTATTTCTATGCAAAATCTGCAACTAAGTCATGGTGTAGAAAAGACAGAAGCATTCAATAGACATTTCATTTTGTACTCAAAAACATTCTGAATGGGGAAGACAGAAAACAAAGTTCTTCAGGGACCCTCTTCAGTGACAGTAATCACTAACTGCAGCACAAACTCCTACGTTCAACTGGTGTTAGAAGCCAGCATGACCTTAGAAGCCATCATCTGTTTCTAACAAACTAAAAGCCCGAAAGCCAGTGGGCAGTGCTTTTAAGAAGTGTGAAACTCACCAACACAAGTCCGCCCATCTGCTGCAAACTGGTATCCATCAACACACTCACATCGGTACGTTCCCGGCTGGTTATTGCAAACTGCGTTGCTGCCACATACACCTGGTTGCTCTGAACACTCATCAATATCTAGAATATCATACAAGGATTTCTGTCACTATAAAAACACATTTAAAACCGATGCCAGAAAAGCAGGAACTGCGTAAGTGTTAAATAATAGCAGGTTTGTGTATCTAATCCACATCTTGGATAGTCTACGCCCCTTAAAAATAATTAGCAACCGGAAAATAAGTTTTCAGTTAACTGTGACCTCAGCTAATCTGCACAAAAAACAAACAAACAAACAAAGAAAAACCACAGGAGAGGTTGTATAGAGGAGTCGGCCAGGAAACCAGGGAGGGAGGAAAAGCCTTTGGGAAAGAAGATGCAGGATAACTAGAAACTTTAGGAAAGAACTCTCCTTCAGTTATCCATACATCAAAGCCTAACATATTAAAAACAAATTGGAGGTTGTTCTTTAGCACAGTAAATGACAAATACACAGAATTTATGTGTATTATTATGTTAAAATCTAGAGCAAAGTAACATAGGGGATATAACCATTAAATTTGGTTCTAAAACACATTTTAGATCTGTACTGTATATAACAGTAATTATTTTATGTGCAAAATCTTTTAATTAACTCCAAACCTAATTGTCTACTAATAAGTATACGTACACACGCAAGAGGAAAGAGCCCAAGCTCAGAAGCTAAATTGTTCTAAGATTTTATTAAACTGTGCAACAAAACAGACACCATCTGTAGTTTAGTTAAACTGCAGAGATTTTGCTTCACTACTTTTTGCTGCAAGCTGTGTACCTCATGCCCCAAAAGTGAAAGGTATGCCCTGCATACATTCCTCATTGCCTTTCAGAACTTTTAACTTAGTTGACTCGTTATAACTGGAATTTGCAGAATGTTGCACCTCTTACAGCTAAGTCCCCACAAGTCTCTTATGAGAAGAGGAACTACGTAGGAAAGATGCTTTGTAAGTTAGCAAAACATATCCAGGTTTGACTCTTTGAAACAATCAAACCTAGTAACTGTGATTAATCACATATATTAGCTACCCCAACATCCCTTTAACCTACAATTCCTCAATCTCCTTCAAAATGAGAGTCAATACATTCCAAGCAAACCAAATTATACATTTTCTAAAGAAAATCTTCTGATACCATAACAAACGTTTCCATCTCCACGGAACCCAATCGAACATTCACAGGAGAAACGATTCCCAGTTCCTGCACGACATACTGCATTGGTGTCACAGTTATGGGTACCAGTGTAGCAAGGATTCCGGCTAATATCAGCAGAACCATCTGAAAAGAAAGACCAAATTTAGCCATGACAACTCTACACAAGTAATAAGACTCGAATAAGGTCCAGAAGGACATTGCTTATAGTATGAATGAAACAAGCAAAAAGCTTTTTTTTTTTTTTTTTTTGGCATCAGGAAGAAGGGGATTGATGCAAGACATCAATCTCAAATGATTTTTTGGTATTTTTTGTAACTTTGCCAAAGGACCATAAAAATTAAAAAGAAGAGTCACACAAAACTCACCAAAAAAAGAAAACCTAACCAAGATAAAGCATCTTCCTGAAACTAACCTAGACTCAAAATGTGATTCTTGTTTTGCTAATTTCAATTGATTGACTTTCATTTTTTGAACAAACAGAATTGAGTATTGTCCCTTCTGTACTTACCTGTTATGGATTTTCCTATTGCTCCTTTGTTTTTATTCTGATTTCAGTAAACACAGAAAAAGCCTGGAATGTTCTCCTAGAAAACACATTTCAGAGGCTTCCTACCTTACAAGTATTGTGCCATTTACCAAGATAAATTACAGAAACTAGCTTTTTCAAAAGTAAACCTTTTTCCCCTCTTTTGCTCTTTGCTCTGACAACACACAAAACAATTGTTAATAAAGATGTAGGTATCAAGTGAAGAAAACTGGCACAACTTTACACATCTGATCAGCAATATATTCAAGCTAGTATGCTGAGAGTACTTCAAGAAGTTAGACACAAACGCCACTGGATTTCAGGAAGAGATAAATACCCTTCCCCAGGTAAAAACACCAACTGCAACAGTCTCATTTCTCTTCTTAACTGATGGATCCAGATCTGCTAATAAATGTAACTAATTAATTTAATTAATACTCAGCTAATGCAAGCTAAAAGAATACAGAATCATACTTTTAATAACAGTAACGGCAAAGAAATACTTTGAATTCATACATACCGCTGATGGGGCCGATGGAATTGCTCATAGCATAACGCAGAATTTGCTCGTCTCTGTTATACAGAACAAATATACTGTCCACTGAGAGCTGCTGAGTAGCAGGAGCAGCATGGAGAGTGTCATCATGAATGCATTCATCAAAGGAGATGGTCTGTCGCCACTGATAGGCACCAGTGTACGTGGAAGCAACCCCATCCCTTTCAGGCTCTGTCACTGTGTACTCTCTGGTGGATGATGAAGTGATCACTGCAACATGGCAACATACTCCAATCAGAACAGAAAGCAAAAATTTCTGTTCACTGCTATGTGGCTCCATTTTCAGGCAAAGGAACAGACATTCGGTTACTTGTTCTGTGCTCAGCACAGTTGTAAGGGACGGGACACAATTTATTCTGACATAATTTAAAAATTCAGCTAAAACTTATGGGTTGCCAGGAAATGAAAGGAGAATTTAACTCAGGAAACTTACAATGAATCTGCCCAAACAATTCCTCCAAATCTCTGAAGTTGTTCAGCACAAAGTAGAATCTTCCTGCTGTTTCTACCATTTCACAACTCGTAAGGACAGGCAAAGCAGCAAGAGGGGCTCAGTACCAGATACCAAGGTCAGACATCAGCAGATATAATGCAGTGATAGAGTAACTACACCACTTTAAACTACCCATTGCAATCAAAGGGTTCCCCTGGAGTAAAATGCTGCCTCTCTCATATCCAGATGCACTTAGGAGCACTGCTTACTGCTTCCTCTCTCTTGCTCCTTGATGGCTGGACTGGCTGACCAGCAGGAACATTACAACATCACTTTGTTTCTGCTGGGTTGAGACATACATCATATTGTCCAGGAAGAGAAAAGGAAAGAGGAATATTCCACATAAATTGCCACGTATATTGCCATATAAATGGCAAAATGAAGAACTACTCTCTTACCGCATCTCTGAGACAAGGAACAGAATTACTGAAGAGACAACAGAGGAAACGGATAATGGAATTAAGAGTCTCCTAATCTCCTAGACAGTTGTTCGAATTCAACTCAAATAATACTGATAAATGCTTGTTACAGACATAGGGCATGGTCATTGAAGTGCAGCTCACACAACACTAATTGGTTTGCATGTTCTCACTGAACAAGATTAAAGCCCATTTACAGACATTACTATAAATAGGTATATCCCAGTTCAGCTCCTGCTGGAGAACCATGGACTTCACAAAAAGCTTTGCAATTTGTATGACTACCACTGACAGTGTAAAAAATGAGACCAGTAAAAGAGAATAGTTAGCATCAGCTCAGATTCACATTTTTTTCAATAGGAAGTTTAGAAATATTTGCACATGAAATCCACCTTGTTTTGGAACCCAATTCTAAGAGTCAAAATTATATGAACTGAAAGTCACAAGCACATCCTTTAAGAAGGTAATGATTATCCTCTCCACTCTAAGAATTGTGCACTTACATGTCAATTCCTTCTTAGGGAATCTTACCAGAACTAGAGGCGTGATAGAGTTCAGTGTAAGGTTCAATATGGACTGATGCACCAGAAGGGACCTCAGGAACTCTGCCTTCCATTTCTGTGCTGATGGTAAGGTGACCATGCTCATCAATTCCACTGAATTTCTGTTTTATAATCAGCTTCTCATTGTTGCCAAGAAAAGTGACTTCAGTTTGCCGTGTAAACTCTCCACCTACAGAAATAGCGTCAGTTAAACTGCTTAATAGTCATTTCTGAATCCTTCTATTCACCACAACTGTTTCTACTAGATAAAATTAAAAACTATTTTCTATAAGCAAGCTTTCATGTAACACAATTGTTAATATTCTGGATCCTTATAGGAATAATTTCCAAAGACAAATTGATAATGTCATAAGGAAACTCTCTTCTTAAACACTGAATATGCTACACTGCGAGTGTAACTGAAGAAGCAGTTAAAATAAATATATTCAGAAAAGCTAAGAATATTCACCCTTTCCCTCTTAGTAAAAACAGCAAATGAGCTGTATATTTTAAAGAATATGTCTATTCAGAAAACAGTCAGTTAAAAACAAACAAACAAAAATCCCCTACATCTGTTTCTAAATCAAAACCAGGTGAAATGTATGCTGTAAATTCTGGAAAAAACTTCAAACACACACACACACACACACACACACACTATTAAATCCCCAAACAATAAGTTATATTCAAGTAGATTCATACCGTAGGGCTGTAAAAGATAAAATTTAAAAAAGAAACACGTGTTCTCTAAGGGCAGATTGAACCTACAGCTTGAATTGAAGTGCACAGACAAACAGATAATGTCCTGGACACTTTTTTAAAGTTATATTTGTGACCTGAGGCTTTCTTCAAATAAGTTAGCAGGTTCATTTGCATTTCATACAACATTTTCTTCTACAAAGCATTTCAGATCTGCGGGAGATCAGACTTTCATTGCTCTTTGCTTCATTGGCACAATCAGGAAATAAACATGTTAGATGTCTTATAAATGTAGGGGCAGGGTTTTTCAGTAGCTTTGTACACTCTATAACCAAAAATCAGACATGTTTTAATAATCTCCTTCTTGTATGGGAATGGGCCAATCCATTCTTCTCTAGGAAATTTACATGCTTGTGCAGAAACTGTAAGATAAAAAGCCCAATATGTAAACAGGAAAAACAGTGAGAATTTTGGTAACAAAGCAATCAATTTTCAACTCAGATTAAATAGATTTTTGTCACATATTGCTTTTATATATGCATTTCTTATCTCGAGACAAGGGAAAGTACAGCACACTTTTTAAACATAATTTTAAATTAAAAAGTTACCGGTAATGCTGAATCCATTTTTATATCCTTGCTGCTCCACAGCAAACATCCACCCTATTACACCTCCAATAGAGGCAAGAGGCAGTAAAGAATAACCCAAAGCTTCTGGGATTGTGCTGATAGCTGTATAGGCACGTCCATGGTTCATCACAACATACGAGTGGAGATCGGTGTTCTCAAATGTAACTGGAACCGGGTTATTTCCTACAAAGATTCGTCCCTTGACTTTCCCATTGACTCTCTGAGGAGAACCTGGGAAATCAGTGCAATGCATCAGAACAAAACGACAGTTCTCAAATACCCTGCAAGGAATGAGTTCAGAGCACCCCGTTAAAAGATATCAGTGTCAAAATGAACGGCAAAGAAATGCCAGCTGAATTCAGCAGACAGGAAACTGTCTACAGTGTTAGCTTGGTTACATGTGTATTGTCATTTGTTAAGCAGACAAAATTGCCTCAGAAAGTGCCCTTTATCCTCATCAACAATTTCTCCTCCAAAGACAACTCTATAAACAGACCATGCTGTTACAGTATCTCTGACAGGAGCAAGATCACACTTCATATCAATACCTACTGAATGTAGATTTGCTCATTCCATACTAGAAGCCTAACACCACTATGTGATCAGAGCAATCAGACTACTGGGCTTCAAAGAAAATTTGTTAGAAGACTGTCAGTGTTTTACAGAAGTAATTACTTTGGTTTACTATTTTTTTTTTCTGTATAATTTGCTAAATGCATACAAATTCAAGTTGCATTACCTTCCATCCCTTTCTTTCTCTGAAAAACTCAGTTCCATGTACTGAAAGCTGTGTAGTAGGTTTTGCTTCCCCTCTTTATACAACACAAAGTTTGCAGTCAGCTAGTTCAGCTGTTGAAATGCATCTATATTCTGAGTCAAGTCACTACAAGGATTACAAGTGTATACATAAGAAATTCCTTTATGGATCTTACACAGGAACAAAGTTTAAATGGTATCTAACAAAAATCCGGCAGATTAGCCCTTTAGTAAAGAAGCTTAAGTGTCAGACAAAGAGGAGCCATGCTCTTTAGTGATGATCAGAGTTAATTTGTTCATCCCCTTTAGTCAGCCCATTTCTAGAGTGGGGGACTATATCAGATTATAAAACACTAGAACTTCACAACTAACTCTAACAACAACATTGGATGCTATACTATGAAATTATTTCAGTTACAGAATAACTTTTTTTTTCCTAGAAAGCTGCATAATTATATACTTGGCTACTTAAACCAGTTTGCTTCATTTAAAAAACAAAACCACCATCTCAGAAAGTATAGCTCACTTAAAATACCTTTCAAAACATCTCTAGTGATAACTCTTCCAAAAACTATGTAACCACGTCTTATTTTGACTACTGAAAATAGGTTGCCTTATTCAAGAACATCAAGCGTAGTAGCTGCATATGCACCCAATTTTCAGAAAAGTTACCTTCTGCTACACATTGTCTGCCATTTCCTTTGTATCCAGCAATACAACTGCAACAAAATCCGTTGGGGTAATCTTTGCAAATAGCATGAACAGAACACTGGTGGCGATTGTTAGCACAGGTCTGTTGGACGTCTGTGTGGTAGCGGAACACTGTAGAAAACACCAGACATGTATACTAGATGCTTATTATATCTCTATTAATACAGAGCATTCAAACAGTCCTGATGAAACTAGCATATGATCATTTTAACCTATGCTTGCTTCCAAACCAAAGCAAAAAGGAGCCTTCTCAACTTCAGAACAAAGAACATCAGTAAATGACCCAGGAATATGCACCAAACACATGGTAATCCTAGTTGGCCCATCCTATTATTAAATGGAAATAGCCATCTATTTCAAGAAACAGTACGTAGGTAGTCAGTCACATGCTTTGAATTTTCTATAAACACTTCCTTGCAAGTTAGAATTGCTAATTCTGCCACTGTAAAAATTGAGGCCATGCAGCCTTACACCAGCCAATGATTTTTACAGCAATCACTATTCTTAACCTTTATTAAATCACCTGAATTCAGTAACTCACATCAGTGAAAAGAAAAAAGCCAGGTTCCAGTAGAAATGATCATAAAATCTTCACCAGGAACAACCACTTACTTAAGATATTAAAGGTCAGATCATAACTTAAACAACAGTCTTGGTTGAAAGACACAAAAAAATCAGTTCCCACTAGGAACACGTCAACATCAGGAACACCATTATGCCTATGGGAAGCTTTCCTTAGAAGAGAATCAGGTTCTGCAGGCACTGTGAACCTGCTCTCCTGTGAGCCAGATTGCAGGACTATTTTTCTAGACTGTCAGGATGAGTCTGAGATGACAGTCAAGATAACTGTTGCAAATGAACGACGCAAAATTGTTAAAGGTACCCAGAACGTCACATCTTAAAGTCTGAATCTTCTTGTTGCCTGTCTGTATCAGAACAATCCAAGCTTTATAAAAGACCTTACCTATACCAGTTTCATCAAATTCTTCCACATCTATGACCTGGGGTCCCTGTGGGGGGAACTGCTGGGCTGGGAACTGGCGAGGTGGAGCTTTTGCTGTTGGGAATTCTCGATGACGATAAAAAGATTCAGTCGAAGGTGTTCCTGTTACATCTTGGTATGAAGTTATAAAGTCTTCCACAGCTAACTGAGGAACACTGTATGTAACATGCTGGTCCTCTTCTGTACTGTCCGTGCTACTGGTGACGTACTGCGGTCTTATTTCAGTGGAGCCATAGTCTGACATGAATGGTTTTGAAGTCAACTCCTGGTCTTCTTCACTGGGCTCTAGGCTTGTCAGAACACTGCTGACCTTGGCAGGCACAATAGTGTCAGATGAGCTACCAATCTCGAACACCCAGACACCTTGTCTCCCAGCATTGCTGCTTCTATCAGAGAGATCACAAGCCAAATAAAAAAGGTCAAATGCATGTTTTGTGGTATTCCCATCCCACACAAAATGCTACACGTCACTTAGAAATACCAGGACAAACTGTTGATTATATGGTCTTAAACTGAGACAGGGGAGGCTTAGGTTAGATATTAGGAGGAAGTTCTTCACACAGAAGGTGGTGACACACCAGAACAGGTTGCCCAAGGAGGGCACGGATGGATGGATGCCCCATCCCTGGAGGCATTCAAGGCCAGGCTGGATGTGGCTCTGGGCAGCCTGGTCTGGTGATTGGTGACCCTGCACATAGCAGGGGGTTGAAACTCAACGATCATTGTGGTCCTTTTCAACCCAGGCCATCTTATGATTCTGTAATTACCTTATATACATAGCACTACACAAATACAGTTTATTCAACTAAAAAATACCACTGATAGTTTGGACAGCATTTTTTTCTGCAGAGGTAGAAACAGAAGGAGATACTTAAGTCACAAAAACCTGTTAGAACTTTCTAACTCCCTTTCCTTTTTGCTCTTTTTTTTTTTCCTTTCCTTTTCTTTTTTTTTTCTTTTTTCTTTTTTCTTTTTTTTTTTTTGAAAAATAAGAGTTCATATAATACAGTATTAAGAGTTAAAGTCTGAAGGGGTCCAATTTCATAAGGTCCATTTGTAACAGCTCCTCTAGCAGCAATGGAACCACGGAGTTTTGACAAATTACACCAAAGTCCTTATATTATTCAAGAGGATGAGTATCAGTAGACATTTCTTATGCAATGGCTAATGGAATCTTACTTTTTCCTTCTGAGTCATGATACAATTCAGAAAAACACGCAACTCCTTGATGTTTTCTTGATAAATTAAAACAAACAAAAAAGCATACTTGTGCAAGTTTCTAATGCTGTCTTCATCATTAGCAATGACATTGTAGGATCCCGGATTTTCCCAAAAGTAGTAGTTTGTGGAGGCCTGACTAAAGCCAACCATTGCAGGAACCTTTCCATCATCATTCTTTGAGTATGCACTATAGAACTGCAAACCATCTTCTGGGTAAAGGAAAATAGCATAGGAACTGGAGTCAGAAGAGGCTAGAACAGCCTGGAATGTGTTCCTCTGTGGAAAAAAAAAAATCCATTTACTCATGGAAAAACAGTCAAGACAGACAATAAAATAACTTTTTTTTTTAAACACAAAGACAACATTTGAATTTCTGTAACACATAATGAATGCATCATGTACTTTACAAGGAAAAAAAAATTAAAAATACCAATATTATCCAAGTTTATGTTCTGTTGAAGCAGTTTTACACAGCATGCATAAACATTAAGCAGAAAGCATTACCAAAGGTATATTAAATCTCTCAGGACGCAGCCATAGAGGCTGCATACTACATAACACTTCTAAGCTCAATTACATGCATTGCATGATCTATTGTCATCTTAAAAAAAAAAAAGTGCTAAACTAAACTAACTGAAAAGATGTAGAAAATTGACACAAATGTATTGCTAAAGAGAATATTAAAAAAAAAAAAAGAAAAAAGTTCAACTTTCATGTTGCTGCGATTGCCTTTTGCTGTCCAAAAGATCCTACAAAGCGTGGGAATCATCAAGACTGCAGCTCAGACATCAGCTATTCATTGCTACAACACTGCAGAGTCATTACTGCGAAAACAATGGTTGTGTCAAGTTAGGTGCAATAAATTAATCTCTGACAAAACAAGATTTGCTAAATTGTGGTAATGTTCTCAGCTTTATCCGTTGTGAGCAGGCCCACCAGATGGGACAATTATAATGCGTAGTTTACCTGTATGAGATCCCTGCTGAACAGTACCTAACATGATTCTGAAAGAGAAAACGGATCACAAGAAATCCAAAGAGTATCCCTTAACTGCTTCTTCATTCAATACTAGCTACAAAGAATGAGATTTTCTGAATACAGAGTCATCTCTCCAAAACAGATGCACAGTCAGAAGTTCCTGTTAATCTTTATCAGGTTTTAGATAGTTTGGTGTCAAAATGTCTTCAGAGTCTGTTGAACAATGCAAGCAAAAAGGATTGTGTTCCACAGATGGAAGGCAGGACATAGCCCACTGTTTCAGTTATTATCCCATCACAATTAACATTTAAAGCACTGCAACATCAGGAAATACAAATAAGTCAGATATTAAGATTCAAGTGCTTTCTTCTGAATGAAAAAGAAAACTTGTAGAAGTTTGTGTTCTGTTACAGCCTTTTCAACTGAAGAATTCATTCTAAATGGTGCTGGATTAATTTAAACACAAAGGAATTCAAGCTTTCAGAACAATAGCTAACAGTGTTACACATCAGCTGGACATGTACCCAATACATCTTAGACCTCCCATTAACATTCACCTTTTCTTCCAAAGAAAGATCTTCTCCAGATCCCTGGTATGGAGCCACGAGCTTCCAGGTAACAATAACAACACTGCTGGGATCAAAAGCAGCCTCGGGAAACCCCCCTTTGATATAGTCTGATGCGAGCTGTAAGACATCTGAGGAGGAATCTTCTCTGTAGTAAACATTTCCACGTCCATCTGTTGTATCCAGATCAGCCATAAAAGGAGCAATAGCTCCAAAACTGACTGGGAATTGGCCAAGATATTTTTCTTCATTCTTAGGTTCATTCACTGCAATAATCCCATTTGTGGCAACCTAATAAAAAAAGGATATTGTAAAATAAATACTGCTTATAATGGTCGTCCTCCACATCTGTGTGATCCAGATCACAACATTTTTCATTGCATTTCTAAAAGAAATTGAGTCTGAAGTTAGTCTCGTGTTTGGGGTGGTCAAAAGTTTCTCTCTCTTTTAGCTGTTACTCCTGTAGAGCAGTTTCACAATGGTGTGACTGAGGACAAAAAGGTGAAGCAAATTTTTAACTTTATTTGGTTAAGCAGTGATTCTTCTCTGTAGCAAATACGAGGCACCCTGTAAATTCCCCTTACAGCTGACCGCCTGCCACTGTACTGTGGAAGACTCTCTCTTACTTGGGAAAAAAAAAAATAAAAAAAAATCCTAAAGGGTATTAAATAAAAATGAAGCTCTTGATCTGAAGATACAGACCTAGTGACAAGGCAGGTTATACCAGCTGTGTGAAGCCAGGCATTTACAGCTCCAGAGCTGCTGCCACACATGTGCAGACAGTTCATCAAGGAGCAGAAGTCCCAAAGCCAACATCACAGGATATGATGCTAAAACAGCCCCTCCCACAGGTGAGGTTTCTCTTACTCACTGTGTGTCCCAGAACAATAAACCACCACTGGACCTTCTCACATATTTAAGACAGTTATAACACTAAATGGTCTTTATGAATGCTTGGATGGGTGTGTTAATGCCTACAGCGGCTTGGGCTACAAGGTCACCCAGCCCAGAAGCCTGTACCAGACTACACCTGTTGGCTTTTAGGTTCAGAAGAACAAGAGAAGGGCCCAAATGCACTTCTCCAGTCAACCTCCATCCACACACAGCTGAAGGGATTCCCTATGCCTTGACTCATCCTCAGCGGGTCTCCTTCAAGTATTTGTTAAGTCTTCCTTTCTACATATCTAAACATCATGCTTCCACAAAATCCTTTAAAAAGGAATTCTGCAGATCCATGACTCATACCCCAACGTCTCTCCTACTTTGTTTGTTTTCAGTCTGGTTCCCTGCTTCCTTTCATGGTCCCTAGTTCTTACATTGAGACATATGGCCAAATCTGACTCAGCCTCTTCTCTATGTAATTTCTCCTTCAGATGAAGACCCCTAATCTAATTTGCTCACTAAGGCAAGAAGATGTGCTCCATCTTTAAAGTCAAAATTTACAGTCAAGTTAAAGTTTTCCTCTTTCTTCTTGCTTATGCTTTCTGCATGCAAGCACCCCTACTCCCACTGCTTGGATGGATGACTTGTGTTTGAAATATTTCATACAAACTCTTTGCTCCTCATCACACTTGGCGCCTGCAGATCAAGACTGCATGGTCCCCATCTACAGTGGCATTTAAAGTAACATTAAGAGAAAACACAATCAGGACTAGTTAATGTCCACTGAACAAAATAGAGAACAGAAGAAATGACCTAAGGTTTGGCCTTCCTCTTTTCATCCTTTCAGGGTACACTTCTGACTATTTCCTATTGTGCTAAAAACTGAAATGTAATAAGTAATTTAATGCAGGGGAGACAAAAATACTAGCCATTCTCATTTTGTATTTCTACTTTATAAATGAGAGATGGTTCAGGTCTAAATGTTAAGGAGAATGTTTGGTTGCTAGTACTCTATCACCAAGAAAACATTTGCAAGCTATTAGATGAAAATAAATACACTGGCTGAGCACTTTGTGAAGAGATCTGAATGCAGAGAAAGAACATTCATCATTACTAAAAAATGTTTTTAGTTTTTGCATGTAGCAGTACGTATATATTTGCACAGAGAGCAAATTGCATGATTTAACTTCTTTTCTTTGAAGCTCACACTGATACATTAAAGCATGAAACCCAAAACGCAGAGAGGTAATTTAGAATAAGCATTGGATGTTATTAAAGCATGATTGCAACCTGCTGTGGGGAACCTGCTTTGGCAGGGGGCTGGACTGATTGATCCCCAGAGGTCTCCTCCAACCCACGTGTTCTGTGATTCTCTGATCATTCCCATCAATAGGAAAAGGGGAAAAAAGGCACCAGGTGGGCGTTGTCTAAAGGCAAGCTGTAGCGTACGTCTTTCCTTTTAGGGTATAATTCTGTTTAAATGGACAGGAACTAACACAGACTTATTTTTAGCATGTTAAATTTCTGGATTACATGCATAGCTGACATATGTTCATGATCTGTAGCAGAACAAATTACACACAGTCTATTACAGTCCTATCTTGAGAAATTAAGTGAGGAGGAGGAAAGAAGCAACAAAGTACTTCTACTGAAAGAAAAAGTGGGTAACAAAAAAAGTTTCAGACAAGTGGCATTTTTTCCCTGTCCAGTTAGGAGGCTTTTTAAGGATGTGAATACTTCTGAGGAAAAAATAAAAAAATAAACAGCTTAGCAATTGAATTTATTTGTATAAAGAAGAGTAAGTAGATTTAAATCAGCAAAACTTTCTAATTAAAACATGACTAACGATTAACTTAAGCAGCTCAAAAATTAACAATTAACAAATTGCCCTGAGCTTGACTTAATGGACTCTGACTGCTCCCTAAAAAGAAGTCACTTCTAGTCTTTCAGCTTTTCCACAGCTGTGAGCTCCACTGTGAGCTGGAAAAGTCTGAACAGAAGTGTGTTATAAAAACAAATAGGTCAGAATGGGCTAATGGTAGGATTCAGCATTATAGAGCTCTCATAGAAAAATAGAGTATGTGAAAGCCTCATGTTTCAACTTATGTTAAATAAACGTTCTCTCTGCCTGCTATGAAAAGAGAGCTTTCGTTGCTGGGGATTTTATGACACATTGATAACAAACAGTTGTTCCTCAGAGGTCTTTGCCTTTTTATCTGCATGTAGAGGTAACTCAGCTTGGCTCCCCAGCTGCTGGGAAAATAAGGAGAATCCAGTGATTAGTGATTGTTTTCAACCAAATGAAAATGAAAGTTGTAAAAGACAAGCATGAGCTTATCGTGCAGAATCATACAGAAACATGTATTTCATCCTGAAAACTCAAAAGCTGATGAAAAACATCTTTTATGTACTGTATATATGCATTTCATACCGTGCTTTAATTTATAAAGTTAGTAATATTCTATTCACTGTCTGCTGGAAACCCTTGAGAAAATTCTGCTTACTGAACATCATCACAGAGCTCAGTAAGCACTCACTGCCAGCATACAATAAAACTGTGCACTCTTGGGGTGCATTTAAGGCTGCTCAGTACCTTTCATGACATGCAGACTCCTTTCTTCACCCCCATACATTCTCTGCTGTGCTTCCACTGAGCAATACTTGTGCTGGATTAAACACGAGATAAAAGCCTCCTGATATCACACAGACTGATCCTAAAACACCTCTGCTGATCAGATCTGCCCACACAGTCATGCTAAAAGGGCCCAAAAGCTGATTCTGGAATGGCCTCTGCACCCACATTGTTCCTGCCAAAATCCCTGGGCACACCACAGGCCGGTACCGAGATCACCAAGCTGAGGAAACCCAGTGGTGTTACCCAACGTGCTGCTCTTTGGGAACTCTGTCCCCTTTCTGGTGTTTATCTGGCATATCACTGCTATCATTTCAATGCCTGACACGCAGGTCAGTCCGCTATCTTCCAAGAATATGTCTGTGCCTTGAAAAGAGCATTTCCACATGAGCTGGCTAATCAGTGACCCAGCCAAGAGCCTGACAGGCAAGGCCACGAACTCGGGGACAAACTGGAGGCTGGACACCCCTCACGTGTCCACCCTTCATCTTCACGGTCAGCCTCAGGTCACAGCACCCACTTCCCATACAGGCACAGCCAGAGCCCTTCAATCTTTTGGCACAGACTCGAGCACGTGGGAGCTACACCCAACCTTGAATGACCGCGGCCACGTGAGAGTCTTACACTTTCCAAGCACGGGAACTAAAAGGTGCCAAGTTTCTCAAGCACCTCCATTAGGATCGCTCCCAACCATCAGATTCACGTTTACTGCAGCCAATGCAGCCAACGCTTCCAACCCCGCCCTCGGGAGCGGACGCCTCCGCGAGCCCCGTGCGCACCACAGCGCTGCCGTGCGGGCACGCGGCGGGGTCTGCCTGCAGCCTGCGGACCTCCCTCCGCACTGGGGCTGCGAGCAGTTCGGGAACCTCGGCGTGCTCGGGGCACGGCGAGATGCCGGCCGGCCGGCCGGAGCGTGCCTGCGGACTGCGCTCATCCTGGATGGGAACCGCACGCCGCTCGCAGCGAGAGGCAGCGAGCGCTCGGTACCTCGCAGCCAACAGCTCAGCCCCTCCCAGCCCGCACTCACGTAGAGGGAGCGAACGGCGGCGCCGTAGAAGCGCAGCGCCGTGCCCAGCTCCAGCGCCGCCGAGCGCGCGTCGTCGCCGGGCTCCAGCGCCGCATCCCCGCGATCGGCGCCGTGCGGCAGCAGCAGCTCTGCGGACAGTGCGAACGGCAGCGCCAAAGCCAGCAGCGCGCAGGGCGGAAAGCGCGGTCCGACGCCCATCCTGACGGCTCCCGACACGGCGGCGCGGCCCCGCCGCTATAAGAGCGGGCAGGGGGCGGGCCAAGGGCGGTTCTGAGAGGGGGGAGCAGCCCCGGGACCCCCCGAGGCCCAGAGGGGCAGGGTCTGGAGGAGGTCGGTGAGCGCTGCGGCGGTCTGATGAAGTTCCAGCGCTTCGGCCCCGTCCCCAAGCTGGTGGGGTTGCTTTGGAACAGCTGACATAATGAAACGGAGCAAGTTAATAACTCGATGTGAAGCAAAAGTAGGAATCCCTGCACCGCTTTCTGGAATCACCTTGACACTATCTGCTCATTATCAGAAGGAAATAAAGAAACACACAAAAGTGTTTCGTAAATTAACTTCAACCATGCCAGAGTTTCATCCAATTGTAAAATAAAACTCACAAAGCAGTCATAGAATCATTGACATGGTTAGAAGAGACCAGTAAGATCACCGAATCCAATCATAAACCCATCCCCACTAATGGGTCCACTAACCACATCCCTCAGAGCCACATCTATACGTTTCCTGAACACCTCCAGAGATGGTGACTCCATCACCTCCCTGGGCAGCCCGCTCCAATCCCTCACCACACTTTCTGAGAAGAAATGTTCCCTAAGATCCAACCCAAATCTCCCCCTGGTGCAACTCCAGGCCATTACCTCTCATCCTGTTGCTTATTGCTTGGGATAGGATGCTGACCACTACCTCACTACAACCTCCTTTCAGGGAGTTGTAGGGAATGATAAAGCCTCCTTTCAGCATCCTCTAGAATGTAAATAAAGTCTCCATCCTGTAAATGAAAATCCACTGATGACAGGAGTTGTACAGAAAAGAAGTATGGGGCATTGAAATAAACTCCAAGCCTTCCTGTTTCACAGTCTGCTCCTGCTCCCAAGAAACACCCAGTATCAACAGAAAATGGATGAATTTCATACATCTTTCCAAAACTCTCAAGCAAAGACTTCTCTAGAAAACAGCAGCATGCTGTGACATTCCCACAGAATGTTTCTTCATCATCATTAGCAACAGTGTGTGGCTGTATTTCATGAAGGAGCTGCTGAGAGACATTGCCCAATGCTCTGGGATAATGAGAAGCCTCCTTTCTCTCCTCACCATCCAGTTCACATTGTACTTTCACCTGCAGCCTCTCTCCATGTATTCACAGCCTGTCCATTTGTAACTGATGGATTTGGGGGTACCTGGCTAAGGGCCGGGAGTTAAGGGCAAGCCATGCTTGTGAAATGCAGCTCCATTGCAAAGAGAAAGCCTAAATCAAACCCTATAACACCTCCAGCACCTTCTATATATACACTCAAAACATAAAAACAATTTCCATTGTGCCTAAACCTCACTCTTCCCCAGTACAAAAGTTAACTTGAGCCAGAGGAACATAAAAGCATAGAAAGGAAAATGTGAGGGTGAAGTCTTCCTGCCAGATGCATATGGTTCCTTAATGTAATGTCCAGAATTTGGAGGGTAAGGACCACTGGAAAAACCAAAACTTCTTGTAGCAAATCTGAAATGGATTTGAAGGCTGTGGAGTTAACTATATGGGCATTTAAAACAGAGTGAGAGCTATGATAAGGCAAATCCCTCATTTGTGAGTCAGTATATTGCAATTGTTTGGTCTATTTTTAGGTTAAGAGGAATGCAGTGTTTCTGTTGTGTAAGTTTACTGCGTATGCATCTCCCACGGTGATGAGTAATGAGAACTGTCAGCTCTCAAGACTAAAAACTATTTTGTTTAAGTTGTCCTTTTTAGCATCTTCAATAAAAGCCTGAAAAAAACCAAGAGGTAGAGAAGCAAGTTTACATCTCATCACTAATTGGGAAATATTAATTTCTAATGCCAACTAGAAGGGAGAATGCAAAATAATTCAGTGAGATTTAGACGGGCAGAAATAATTCAGAGGCAAACTGGAATAATACCATCTTATCACCAGAATATCCATCATGCAAAAATCTTCCAAAACATAGCTCTTAAATGCCAATGCCACCACATTTTCAGTGGATCACGAATTAGACCTAGCTGCAGTTTACATAGCAATGTAGCTCTCAGAGCAGCCAGTGAGCTCCTGCACAGTACGTGAGCAGCTTCTATTGAGTTACTCAGACAGAAGTGACCTTTTCTAAAAGGATATGACAACACCAGTTTTCCAGAGATTGCTTGGGAGATCAGAGATCTCGCAGAAGGTGCACTACTGGACACAGTTTGGAGTGGAAGATTAAAAAAGATTAGAGGATATGAGGGAGTGAAACAGAACTGTGTACTTGGCTGAACGATAACAGGAAAAAGATTTGATTTCTATCTCTTGAAGATATGAAGCATCTTTCATTTAAGTATCTGAAGGGTGCTGCAAAACAGGGGGAGGAACTGCATCAGTGAGTTATGGAGAGTACAGATAAGCAGGGATCAAAATAACTAAAAGAAAGCATGAAACCAAATAGCAGAAGACATTTCCTTACCATAGGGTCTATTTTCAGGAGAATCAGAGATCAAGCATAGTGGAAGTAGAATGACAGGAAGCTTTGAATAGACCATAGCCAGACAGATTCATTACAAAAACTAAAAATGAAAATATACTGTCAAGAATAATTCTATATTTGATCCTGGAACAAGGCAGCCCAACAGATTTTTAATCAAGTTTCTATGTTGATGTGGCACTACAATAGCTCACAGCTATGCGCACACATATACTTGAAAGTTTCCACTGCCTACATGTAAGGAGATGTGGAAAAGAAGATTGCAGATATGGTTTTACATGACCATCCCAACCTCCTCCCAGGATCTGCGAATAGAAAAGGGGTGCCAGAGGATCCTCTTTGCTAGCTTGACTGGAAGAAGGAATGCAGTGACCAGGGTCTTCATGGTGATCATCAGCTGTTCAAAGATGAGGAAGGATTCTGGTGCAGGGATCATCAAAAGGCAGAGAAACCATTAAGAATTAAACTGGAAGGAATTGACCATTTGTGATGTCAGGAAAGAATAGGACTGAGGTCTGCTGAGAAGGAACATTTTTAAGAGGCAAGGTCATGAGAATCAGGTCACAAACAAAGGCAAGGCTTGCCGGAAGATGACAAAGTGAGCATCATGAATTTAAATTACTGTCTTGGCACTTCATAGTTGCTGTTCACTGGAGTGGGAGATCATGAGATTCCATCTGCAAGCCTAAATGAGCCTAGATCATTGTGGGGGTGACAAGATTTAGGAGCAGTTTCTTAAAAAAAAAAAAAAAAAAAAAAAGGAAGATATTTTCCAGCAAAACAGAAAGAGGCTAATTCTGAAGCTCTGTTAGAAGCTCGAGAAGAGATGCACTCAATGAGCAATACTAAACGCAACTCTCTACATCAGTGCAGGGTAGAAAAGATCATCAAGTGCCTTCATTTTCTCTCACTGGGAGATCTTACAGGGCAACAAATCTTCCTTGGGAATGCATATCCTGTTCTGGAGAGCAGCAGGGCAACAGTGGGGATGTGTGACAGTTGGCCAGTGACCTGATCAGTACAGAAGAGAGACTGCTGAGATGTAGCAATACATAGCAGTCACAGATGAGTAGCTGTGCACAGTGGGGGAAGAAGCTTGGGAGAAATATTGGCTCTCAAGCCCCTTCCTAAGCCATCTGCTTGGAGGGAACACATTTCCAGGGCTACCCCTTATGCAGTGAGGTTACACTCACACAGATGTATGAACACTTTTCTTCATCTTAGCCTATAATGTCGAAAAAATGAGATGGAAAATGAAATAGAAAAAATATTAATATAACAGAAATTGGCTAGATAAAAATAGCCTCTGTTCTCCTATCTGTCATGTAGCCACATGGAAAACATGACCATTTTTATTGCTTCCTTTTTGATATTTTATCAAAATATCCTTCTGGTATCCTAAAGCCTGTTGAGAGAGGAATGGAGCTTCTAATCCAGGAAAAACACAGCAATTTTTGTAGTAACAAAGTTAAAATAGGGAAGAAAGGTACCTAGTTAGCCTTTTACTTAAATTTTTGAGCACAACACTAAGTATTCCAAGTCTTACTATTCTGTCATTATCTAGAAGTTCAGTTTGTGCAAAAAAGACTCCAAACAGACACTAAGAAATGACCTCAAGTGTTAAAACACACAGGAGTCAGGAAGACAAAAGGTATAACCAGATTCTTATACATGCAACAAAATGATTACAATTTGAACATTGTTTTTAAACAATGGGAATGGGATGTGGAAAAGCAATTTGAATGGACAGGAAGGCAGATATGGAAAAGGTATCCTTCATCTCCTGACTACTCTGAAAGTAAAGGAATAATAACCTGGTTTTGTACAGATCATCCATGCTTCAGAGCAGAGACAGTGAACACAGGGAAAGTTCACTTCCTTGTAGTCTAGTGATGACATAGTACTTAATGCATTTCTTGTTAAACCATCACTTCAGATTGAACTTGCATCCAAACAAATTTAGCATTGCTAAATTTTATATTCTTGTATTTTACTTAGGCATTTACTTTCACTGCAGTGAACATAAATTTCAGTTGAATATGGAACACAAAAAAAAGGAATGGTGTGGAGTTCCTGCAGCGGAGCTTCTAGATAGCAAGCAAAAAGAAAAGAGAGACCAAACACTGCTCTTTTGCTGGCAGAAACTGGAAATTCATTGACAAATGGTTAATACAGAAGGTCAGCCTTAGATTCTTTATGAACATTCAGAAGTCCTAGTAAAGTCAGACACTCAGGCACAGTTTCTCATAGCAGCCAAGCTACTATAAGAGTACATGATTTCTCAAGTGAGTCTAAATAGTCACGACAAGTTGAAAATGAAATATAATTCATTCTTCTCCACTATGACCTGGTGATACCTTTTAGAAGGAAGACGGCTTCTTTCTGAAACTTATTTAGCAGTGGAATCCGTTGCCTAAGGCAGCAAAACGCAGCAGGGAGGACATATTACCTTGAGCAGTTGTGAATAAAACTGAAACCAATTTTCTCTAAGAGTAAATGGTGCCGTGGTACAGCAAAAGCCAACAGTTTGAATCACTTAAAAA